GTCGGAAAAAACGAAGAAAGCAGCCATACGGGGCCCCCAGCAACGCCTGTGTGGTGCAGAGCGAGAAAGCCCTGGGAGTTGCCGTGGTATGATTAGGCGGTTCCGTGGTACGTTCAGGGGGGTTCGTGATATGTTCGGGGAGTTTCGTTGAGAAGTAACCAGCAACGGANCCCAGCAACGCCTGTGTGGTGCAGAGCGAGAAAGCCCTGGGAGTTGCCGTGGTATGATTAGGCGGTTCCGTGGTACGTTCAGGGGGGTTCGTGATATGTTCGGGGAGTTTCGTTGAGAAGTAACCAGCAACGGATATACCCGGATAGATCATCACCATTTCAGGGTACACTTGGAAATCAAGACGACACCAATCTCCGACAGCATCCGCGGTAGATCGCGGCGAAACCAATGAACCGCTGTCTGTGTCCTGTGTGTCCTGTGCCCGGAGACATGATGCACGAGGCAGGTCGTGCCCGTTTTTCTCTCTCTCTGTGCCTCTCTCTCTGTGTGTGCTTTTACTAATCAGTACCACACCGAAGTACTCGCGCGTCAAGCGAGTCCGACCCTCTGTTGAGAAGGGCCGGCATCCTATGGAAGCGGTGCCCATGAACGATGAACGAGCGAGCGTTATTGGTGGTTTGGTTGTGGTTCCGTATGTATGTGCCGTACACGGTATGATGTGCGGTACTACACGTTTTTTTCTGCGGGTTTTATGCTAGAGCGTCGGGCGCCGGGATTACATGACCATTTCTGGGTGCAAATTTGACCTCTTCCGGGTACACCAGTAACCAATATCGGTCACACCAGAGGGTCCTAATTTCAGCGGAAGTTGTACTCGATGGAGGTTTCTTCAGAAATGGGTACAAAGTTTTTTCGGCCAATCAGCTGACAGCCTGGGGGTGCAAGCGTGTTGATTTCTAACTGTACCCTAAAGTGGTGATCAAGGACCCGGGTATACCCGTTTCTGATTATTGGTCAGCTTCGTTCTATGAGTAGGGGGTTCCGTGGTATGGTTGGGGGTTCCGTGGTGTGATTAGGGGGTACCGTGGTAAGATGAGGGGGTTCCTTGGATCATTTTGGCCAAGAATGTTGCATTTTCTCAAATAAAAAAAACTCGGCAGCTATCGACGTAGCTCGACGAGGCGATCACGAATGAATATCGTTGTTTCACGCCCCAGCTTTTTTTTTGCGAAATTTATCGCACAAAACGTGAATGGAAAAATTGTCCCGGACGGACCATAGAGTTTCACGACGTCTGCCCCTCACAGTCCTCTACCCCTGTATCACGTTTTTATATAGTTTTGGAGGGATGGATTCGCCTGAGAACGGCAAGGACCCAGTTTTTTTCTCTCTGGAATTGAGGCTATCTACCCCGAGTTAGACGAATTTCCTTTCCACAGCGAATTTCCTTTCCACAACAGTAGGACTCTGCCCACAGGGAAGTTTAGAATAAAATCAAAAACTGATTCCTTTCGGTTTGGAGCCACGCGAACCAGAGTTCTGAACCAAAGTCATCTGAACCAGTTTTTCGTGGAGATTCCAACATTTCTTTTTTTTCTTTTTTCTTCACTTCTGATCAGCGCTCACAGCACTGGTAACAGCATATTGGTGAAATTGAGAGCGAAGCATTTGATTGGGAGCGAGATTGCGCGATGCGCTGCAGCTGGACTACTGCTGAGAAGTGGAGCTTGCTGTGTAGCTTGAATTGAAGGGCCAGCCCGTAGCTACAAGCAGATACCCTGGTCATCCTGTGGGAGTCTCTCGATGTGGAGTTACAGCGGCGAGCAGAAGCTACAGCAGAGCCCACCGCCCGAGGCCAAACCGCCCTGCAACAGTTGGAGGCAGGAATAGCCAATCTGGGGAAATCTAGCAACTTGTCTAGCTCCTAGCTGCAGCATCCGATGACGATGACACGCATATCCTCGTGACGCTGCTGATGAGACCTTCAATTTGCGCCGCTTCTTCTTGGAAGAGCCTCCCCCCTACTTCTCAAGAAATGGCAAGAGGCGTCTGGATCCGAATTTTAACATTTTAGGCTCTCGCTCTCAATCTCATGCTTCGCTCTCAATTTCACCAATATGCTGTTTGGTGCCGTTTACTCCAACCCGTGGTCACACAGAAGAGCCCCCCTCTACCCTCCCTTCTGCGGTACTTTGTTGTTGTTGTTGTCTTCACATTAAAAGAGTTCAGCACCCTCTTCCCTCTGTGTACACACGAACTAGCGCTATCCACTAGGCCAGGAGCCGAAGCGAGAGAAAAACTCAATGTGCAAGAAAAGCTCGCTTACGCCGGGATTCGAACCCCTGACCTGACCTCTAGAAGGTTTCGAAGTTACCAACTAGACCACCGGGGCGACCTATACATTTAACAATACGGAGCGATGAAAAATGAAAATGTTATCCCGTGCCCACTCGCACACATCATATTATGCATAGAAAAAGTGGTAAATTGCTACGCGCACAACCCGAAGTGTACCTGTTGTACAAAATTCCATGTTAGGATTCAATGTAAGGGTTCTACACCAACAACACACCCGATGAACCAACTACCCAGCACCAGCCTTCTACACCTTCCCAGCAAAAGATACAACAGATAGATGCACAAGATGGCTACCGAACTAACTGTGTAAGATCTTCTTGTTGACCCTGTTAACCCGCGGGGGAGATGTCTCTGTGTACTGATCGGGCCCGTTGCGCCAAAATCACAACCACAAGCATGAAGCCTGCTCTTGAAGACAGCAAACCCACCTACCTGTGCTTTTGCTGCTCTCTCCCTCCTCTCTTTGCTCGCCTCTCTCCCACTCCGCCGCGGCCAGATCTGTCCGCCGAGCGCGGTCGCAGATCGGGATGGATAGACTAGGGTGTTGAAAACCCGCCCGCGTTTCGCGATACTCGGCGTGCCAAGCGCCTTTGCCGGTGTGGAAGAAATGTCCCGAAAAAAACGGGGAAGGGACCGGGTATCCCCCAAGATATGACGTGTCTCTGCCAGGCTCTTCGAGCGTGTGAAACGGTTGCACACACGGCCGTTGAAAAACCGATCACATGCATACGTTCCCCCAACATAGAATGATGATGATGACCTCTTGCCGACGAAGAGCGAATGTCTCCGACCAAAGGTGCTGGCCGCATCTTTGGTCAATCTGTTCTCCGCCCAGCTCGGCAGTCTTGCGCTGATCCCACGCGCACACCCATCTCGTCGGCAGATCTACGCCGCGAGCTTCTGCCATGGATTGGCCTGGCTGATTTGCTGGAGCGGTCGGCAGCCCGCCCTGTGCGGTGTGACCTTTCACGGCGCAGCGGCTCCGCCACAAGTGTTTGTGGTACCTGTGACCATACACGGGGCCCCTATTCTCGCTCTCTGCTGTTGATGCCTCAACAATGATGCGTACATGCTTACGTCGACACCCACAGGGCACATCATAGAGCAGTAGCTCCAGGCGTGGTGAGAACACCGTTCATGGCTCCCCACAGGCTTGCGGCACTACTACTGGTCGCGAGCGTTTTCGTGTGCCAGGCGGTTGTGACCCTGGGGTTCATCTCGCCCAAGGCTTCTGTCGCCGTTGGAAGAACCGCCGGCGAGGCCTTCGTGGGGGAGACATTGCAGCAGAAAGGGCTTGGGCGCGGGCAGAGCTGTATGGTTTCTTCAAGGCCGGACAATAGAGGTGGTGATGGGGCTACCATGCGCCTTGGGGTGAGCATGGGTGCAGCCAGTCTCTTGTCATGTTGGTCAGACGCCCGTACCGAATCTAACCTTCGAAAGCTGTCTCATATTTGCACCACCTTCTTCATACACGCGCAGCGGCAGCCCTTGTAAGGCAGCGGCTCTCCTTGTAGCCGGAGATTTTCTAGCGCGGTTGTCTGAACAACAAGTTAAATGCGACAGCAGTCGTTGGAGACAAGTGGGACGTGATTCTCCGTGATGCTGTACTCTATCCAGCACCGTTGTGAAACCAAAAGAGAGAGAACGTACAACAGGTCCATTTTCAAACGGAGAGAGTACTCCACAGCGATAGACTGCTCATACGACCAAGGATTTGGCGAAGCATGGTAGGCTTCTAGACGCTATGTAGATATTGCTTCTGTCTATCGGCAAACAGTACGTTGCGTTGGAAGCCGATGCACTCAGCCATGGCAACCTCCCGTTTAGAGGACGCGCGCGGTAAAGTCTCAGCGGTTGATCCATGTTCCAAAAGCACAGCATGTAGTCTAAATCAGCAGCGTCTGCCAGCTTCACCGACCGAAGCTTTTGCGGGATCGTGACCGGCGTGCATGCACGCCAGCAGTACTGCATACATTTGCATACGACAGCAGTGCCTTCTTCAGCATGCAGCCCCCGGCCGAGTTGGGCTCTATCGGTACTGCGATAAGCAGGCTGTTGCGCGTCGTGTGCGCGCGAGAGATGGGGCACACAAATCGCAAGCGAGCACAAGCCCGATGACTACTGCTGTACGCAGATTAAAACCAACGCAAGCACCGGAGCGGGAAAGGTGGGACAACAAAACAAGCAATAAAAGCTCCTGTGTGACCTTCCTATTGTGTGACCCCGGCTGATACGTCAGGTATATACGCGAAAAGGCCTGTGAACCTGCGCCAGAATAGGTGGGACGAACGCACATACGCAGTACAGCAGTCGTATTCAAACCTGTGACGTGTCCGCTTACATTGTTACCCCTTGGCCTACTGGCTTAGACTGGCCCCCTTTGTCGTTGGCCAACTGGTTAATATAGCAGCGCTATGGACCAAGTGTGGGCTATTAACATACATGCACACACGCGATCACGTGTTCGCCGTTGGAACAATATTTACACAGAACCTTTCGGTAGGGTACTGGGAGAATACAGAACGTTCCGTGAAATCTCTGTAGGGTACTGGGCGAGTACCGAACGTTCTGTGAAATCTCTGTAGGGTACTGGCAGAGTACCGAACTTTCTGTAAAATCTCGGTAGATACTGGGGAGAGTACCGAACTATCTGTGAAATCTATGTAGGGTACTTAGGTCTCACAGAACTCCTCTGTATGGTACACAAACAACGTACCTACAGACGAACCCGGTACTTACCCCGATAGTAGCAGCGTCACAGGACATCACGTCCTGCACCGCACAAAAGGACGTCTGCACCGCATGAAACACAATACTGATATTATACTCCGAGATCAACGTGGCTCCGTGCATTCTGATTCTACCCCACACTACAGCGGCGGCACCATTGGTCTTCCTCATCAACTATAATTAATGAAGCTGACACGAAAAAAAAACAGTTNAGCAATCAAAACCGCGAAGAACGACAACAACAGAATCAACAATCAACCGCCGTAGCTACGCAGCACTAAGCCTCCGTTGTTGTCATTTGGAGCGAAAACGCAGTGCACCAAAGCAAAACACAAAACACGTACGGCTGTTTCTGTTTCACCCTCGCCTCCTCCACCCCCAACTGCTGTACTTTGCGCCGGGGAGACGCTGCTGCTGAGGTCTGCACTCTCGCCCATGTTCCTCTCAAGCTATGTGACCGAAAGGAGTTCTGTGGAGGTACCCTGTTCTAGTTCTGTGATCGCCTTCAAGCTTTTTGTCGCTGTGGGGCAGGTGGGGTCTTCGGCGCAATCCTGACGTCATACCTCCGAGGGTACTACTGTACAGAACTTTTCGGTAGGGTACTGGGAGAGTTACAGAACTGTTTGTCGGTAGGGTACTGGGAGAGTACCGAACTTTCTGTAGAATCTCTGTATGTGCTGGGGTCTCACAGAACTCCTCTGTAAAATCTCTGTATGTTCTGGGGTCTCACAGAACTTTTCGGTAGGGTACTGGGAGAATACAGAACGTTCTGTGAAATCTCTGTAGGGTACTGGGCGAGTACCGAATGTTCTGTGAAATATCTGTAGGGTACTGGGAGAGTACCGAACAGTCTGTAAAATCTCGGTAGATACTGGGGAGAGTACCGAACTATCTGTGAAATCTATGTAGGGTACTGGGGTCTGACAGATCTTCTTTGTAGTGATCTGTCGGTACTTACAGAGGGAAAATACCGCCGGTACCGATCTGTGAGTACCCTACAGAACGGACCTGTGAATTATTTATTAGCTTGACCATCGCTTGACGTTTTCACGATGTAGAATTTTTGGCGGGTTTCAACAGGTCTTGCGAAAAGAAAAACAACAGAATTTTTTAATTTTAGTTCTCCCGCGGTGCCCGACAACAGTTTTTGTATCTTCGTCCCCATCAACTGGGCGAATTCCTTGACAGTGCGCTTTGCGTGTTGTGTGTGTGTAAGCTTCGATCACCCACACCAGGCCGTCTTGCAGTCACACGACACGGCAAACCTTTGTGGGTGTAGGCGCGTGTTGTTTATGGCATAGACGGCAAGGGCTTGATACGTTCCCGGAATAGGAGCAGGCCTATGCATACCTCGGCTATCGCAGATGGGCACTGAAAGGTCTTCGACAAGGCACACCATCATACAACTTCCCTCGGTTGTGGCGGTCTTAGCTGCGGCATTATCTTGCGTACGGTCGAGCACGTGGAATCAGGGTTTCATAGGTTGGAGCAACCTTTTCTGACATGCAGCCATGTTGTTGGCAGGAGCTTGAAACGTTGTTGCGCTAAGTGTGAGTCGGCACAACCAGTAATGGTTGGTGCAGCAGCAGCAATCGGTGTATAGCTTCTGCCGTAGGTAAGCAAAGAAGGGGACGATGACGAGCTGCTGGTTCATGATAGTGAAATGTTGCCTGGGCCGGCGAACACCCGAGATATCGGGTCCGGCCCGGCGTTGTAGGCATGCGAGGTCATTGGCCTTCACGACTACGGTATGCGTTTACGTTAGTACAATCCCCCCCCCCCCTCTCCCCCGGGGATGCAACAGTTGGGCACGGTAGTAGTTGAGCATGTCGCGGGGTTGACGCGCCGTAAGCGCCTTTGATGCAGACCCACTGCATGTTGATCGCTTTTGTTAATCTAAGGGGCCGGGAGTCGGCACACTGGCTGGGAGGTCCCGATGGTGGTGTGCAGCACCCGGCAGCGGAGCTGAATGCTTTCGCACGGCAGTTGATCTCCCGTTCTTTCTTCACTTCTTTCTTCTCACTCTAGCAGGCTGCTTACCACGTAAACACCGGCTGTCAAAGGGTCTCGAAACAGAATTCCAGCCATTCGACCCGCAAATCCCCCGGCCTTAACTCCGGAGCAGCAACGTGCTGTCTTCATGATAGTAAGAGTAGTGAATCGTGTTGTTTTCGCGAAGGCTCGTCTCGCCGAGAAATAAGCGTAAAGTAGGGCTACTTCATCCATAACATCTGCCGACATCCGTGTGGGCTGGTGTTGCCTACCTCTCTCTCACTTTGTTTTGCTGCACTTGCGAATCCAATGTTGGACAGCAGCAGGGCGTGGGTGAACAGCACCATTACCGGAAATCAACTATTCACTCCTTTGTGCACATGCTCACTGCGAGCAATCTTTCCTACATGTGTCCCCAAAAGCCTGCGTACTTGTAACGAATCGTGAGAGTGTCCCCTCTCTCCCTCGCTGTAAATGTCATTGAAGTGTCCAGATCGCGTTGGCAACTGCCGACACGACGATACCTACACCGTACGTTAGGCCCTTCGCTTGCCTCTCTGTCATGATATTTTTCCTCTGTATAGCCTGCTGAGGAGACTACAGTACCACAATATACCTTGAGACCTCGCGCTACGTCTTGGATGAATCGTGTCGTTCCTGTTCTTTTGTTACGGATTCTTATATTCTGTCCTCATTGTTCACATTGTTCCTGTTCCTGTTTTTTACTCGTGTTTTGTCGTTCTTTGGTTTTTATTGTATGTCCTGTTTCTCATTAATATTTTTTGTGTCCTGTTTTTTTTTTTTCCTTATTTTTGTTTTCAGCTCTCCGGAAAGAAAACGACGCCGAACCTCAAGGCTACCCCGCCGATGAAGGTGGCTCTGCTGGTGGAGCCCACTCCCTTCACGCACGTCAGCGGCTACTCAAACCGTTTCCGCGAGATGCTCAAGTAAGCGAACCACAACACGATTTACCACATCGATTTTTGCGATGCGTACCCCCCCCCCCCCCCCCCCCNCCCCCCCCCCCCCCCCCCCCCTTTATGTAATCAGGCAAAGGAGAGTTGCACACCAAGAGCGAGCCCTCCTCCGCAGCACGCCTCTTCTCAGCTGTTTCGTAGGAAACGTTTGTTCGTTCCGCGTCGCGTGTACTGGATTTCCGGGGTGCTGGTTTTCCGTACCATATTTTCTCGGCGATGATATTTATCGTAGCCAGGGTCTTCTTCCTGCCTCTGGTTCTTTTCCCAAGTCCAACCCGCCGTTTGTTGTGCAGTCGCCCGAAGATCCTACCGACCACTCTCTTCGGCAAAGTACGGACCATGGTGGTATTTGTCCTTGTATCCGAATGCCCCTTGTTTTTCGAACAGAGTGGTAGGTTTTGTGGATTTACCTCCTTAGCCGATGACGGAACACGGATATTAACCCTCTTGTGTACGTAACGACAACTTCTGTTAGATAAGTAGAGAATTGATGAAGCATGGACGTTGTCGTGTCGCGACGGCTATATCCCGGGGAGGGATGGAGGAGGACACTCGGCGCTCGCCCAGAGACGGACGCGCCGAGAGAGGGGAGAAGTTTCGTCCACGACATCACCAACCGGTTTCGAATCTCCGAGAAACGACGCCCCTTTGATACGAGGAAGGGAGGGTAACTTCGAAATATACATCATGAGCACAAAAGCGTGCCTTTTTTGTATCAGGCGGGAGGCATGGCCCAAAATGACTTACCCATGACAATGACAAGAGCGAATGTACATCACACGTGAGTGTGCACAC